TGCTCTTAAAGCATTTCAATGCCAACAGACACATCACTTAATTTTTCAATGAACTGTGGAAAGGAATACATTCATACTATCCTCCCAAATCCTGCATTCAGATCATCTTTTTGCACTTCATCTAAATTTAAAAAAATTATTTGACTATTTTTTTCATTTTTTTTTTTCCTGACTGGGAAAACCCCGTCAGGAAGGATTATCATTTATCCATGCACATGACTGTGAACACCACAAGAGACTGTGAACACCAGAAGATAGTATCAATGCAGAACAGGGCTCTGGTAAATGTCTATCAAATTAATATACTCCGGGGAGGCCTAGAAATACACAGCCTTCTTCCCTCCTTCTCTTGCCAGCCTAAGCCCCACATCACCTCACTCAAATTCTTAGTACTGGACTATTCCAGTCCATGACAAGTAGTAGATCAGACCTTCTCTTTTCCTCTTGGGAGGAGGGTAGCACTTCAGAACCATCCAAGAAGTTTGCATGTCTGCTTAGGAAAACAAAAGTGCCCATTCACAAGAATGTGTGAATAAATTCAAAGGTTCACAGGACATCTCTGGATATCTATGACCCTTGGGTTAAGAACTCCTGTAGTAGATCGTTAAACATTAGACTTGAATTAATAACAAAATCCTAACAAAGCAAAGTTGTTTATCTGGCCAAAAAAAAAGATCAAGGAACCCATACAGATCTGGGTTTCAATACGGGTTTTATCATTTGCTAGCTGTGTGAGGTTAGAGAATTAAACTTGCCTGTCAGTTTCCTCCTCTGTAAAATGGGTTAACAATAGTTGCTAATTCTGAGTTAATGTCAGGATGAGATGACAAACACATGACATGCTTGGCACATTGCCTTGTATACAACACAGGCTCATAAATGGAAGCCATAGATGCCTTCCTTTTAGTCTACAGACTCCACACTTACCTCCCACTCCCAACTTCATCCTTATTCTGAATTATACTAGTAAGTTCCGTGAGATCTCAGAGTACAAGACAGAAAATAGGAGACTCTAAGAATTTATAAGGTCACAAAATACAGCCCTAATTCTTCCTCCAAATTAAATGCTTGGCTTTAACCCATGAAGGCCCATTTGACAAGACAGTCAGCAATCCCTTCTGTGTAAATCCAGGTCAGCTGTCAGCATGTAATTGTTCTATTAGGCCAAGTCAATTTTTAGAGGCAGGCCTGTTAGCTCAAAATGGAGATGAAAAGAAAGTATTTGATCAAATGCTAACCTGCAAAAACCACACTGACAGGGAAACAAGGCAGAGGAATTCGTTTCTTAAAATTATTCTCTATGATACTTTTAGTTTAACAGTGGATATTTAAGGACTTTAATCAGTTTTTTTTTTTTTTTAATACCTTTACTTTATCTTTATGTGGTGCTGAGGATCGAACCCAGGGTCTCATGTGTGCCAGACGAGCACTCTACCACTGAGACAGAGACCCAGCCCCTTAATTAGCGTTTTTAATCTACCACCCAGCTCTCCTACCACAGCTAACAGCTGAAAAAACTGATTTAGTTCTTAATGTTCCCAGCTTCAAATCTGACCTAGGATCCAGAAAAGTTGATTTTAAAGTTACACAGAATCTATCATTCTGATTCCTTCCACAAATGAATTCCTAAAGCATTTCTAAATATTTGACTTCAAGGGGAAAAAAATGTATTTCCACTTTAAAACAATCTTTCATCTCCAGCAATGCAAATTTTCTTTGTTTGTTTAACCAATCCGCATACCACTAGCCAGTGTTTAATCGGGCCTCTTTATTTAACATCATCAACCATGTGGGTTCCATAGCCAAGTCTAAAAGTTTCAGATAATGATCTCATTAACAGCAACAAATTGGCTCAAAGATGAAATATGTATCAATATGTCTAAAAAACCTTTAAAGTGCCATGCTTCAGAACTACAGAAGTGTAATTAACTCCTCCAGCTCTCCAAATGCATGCTGACACTCCTACATGCAAATAGCCTACAACAGTGCATGAATAATACAAATAATTAATGGAATTTCATACCTACATAACTGTATTCACAATATATAAATGTGTATGTACAAATACATATATATACTCACATGTATACATACACACATATCTTCACACCGCCTATACTGTTGACCTTGGGATAGTTATTTAAGCCTAAAAGTGCACAAGGAAGAACTAATATTCCTGGTGACTAAATCCCGAGGTTTGAATTACAATCTTCTCTCTTTCACACACACACACACACACACACACACACACACACACACACACTTCTCCATACCCTAACCCATGCAAATGATTGAAAAAGTACTCTAATTAGAAATAGCTGGGCAAGCCAGACTATGATAAGGTATCTACTGTATAAACACACAGATATTTTCATTGGTATATAATAGGAAAAGAAAAAATTAATAATACAAACCAATTTCTTATCTTAAAATTATTAAAGGAGAGAAACTTTCAGTTTTTTTCCCCCTCTTTTTAATCAAGAACAATACTGTTATAGAACCCCACTGGATATATATTAAAAAAAAAAAAAAAAAGCAAGGCTATAGTCCTACTATTTAGCTTTAGTTATTGAAAATAAACTGTGAAGATCATAAAACATTAAATGCAAATCACTAAGTATTTTAAGATAGTACATAAAAGGTTTTGAAAAGTTCAGAGTACTTAAAAAACATGAATAATCTGAAGCTGAATACCTATTTGTTTTTCCTATTCTTTATTTTTTTAATTTATATGTGGTGCTGAGAAGTGAACACACAGTGCTTCACACATGCTAGGCAAGCAATCTTCCATTGAGCTACAACCCCAGCCCTCTCACCAAAAAAAAAAAAAAAATTCACAGCCAGTAGACAGGGATCACAACAATTTCTTCAACTGCATAGTATTCGAAGAATAAAAGCATACCAGCCTTTGTACACACATAGCCCTAAAAGCCACACTGCACTCCATCTAGGGACACCAGTTCAACAAGTTGGCCACCACAATAAAGTTATTAAAGAAATCGGATTCACCAAGGAATGGCTGTTCAGATAGCTCAGATAAGCCCACCAATATTACTGCACTTATAAGGGAATTAAGGACACCTATTAGTGTTTGCTTAACAGGTGAACTTATTAAATGCCATTTATGTCATTTTTTCTTAGCAATTGTTGACTTAATTTTTCTTTTTTCTTTTTTTGGCTAAGCTAATGGACTACAAAGAATTAGATAAGCACTTCGAAAAGTTTCAAAAGAGAATAAATTCCTTCTGCCAAATTAACACATTATCTCTCTACTCACAAGGATAAAATAGTTACAAATGGTGTGTTTAAACTGCTAATTTTGTATTAAATGGTGAACCCAAGATTATCTCCAAAGCATAGCACTTCTCTTAATGGATAGCTAGCCAAACTGCTGTGAATAAAGAGTATAAGTTAAAACGCTGGAGGTAAAAATCACAAACTTCAAAAGTCTCCTCAAAAAATGAAGAACCACGTTAACCCCCCTACCCACCACCCCCGCCTTTGGAAAGCTGTAAATCAAACAATTTCCAAAGCCATCAGGACACAGTGAAAGCCTTAAAGAGAGGCAAGAAGTCACAAGGAACAAGATTTAAGTTCAACTATTCTTGAAGGCTGCAATAGAAATGTTTAGGAATCGGCTGCAAAGCATGCTCCCTAAAGCTTTTATGTTAAGAGATGGTAATAATAATATTATAAAGAAAAAAGTTCAACAGTTTTTAAAAACTGTCTGTAGTCACAGAACTCAATCAACGCGTTTTGCCTTCTATTTATCAGATAGAAGTTGAAGACAAGTCAAGAGCCCTGTAAGGCAATCTGATTAATCACAGCATTGGTCCATCCTCCCTCTTTGTAAAGGACACACCTCTAAGGAGTCAAGCTGCATGCTTGCAGTCCTATGCGGGCTGGGCTCTGATCCGCACCAGAGAAGAGAAAGGAAGAAGCAATCTACACTCTAGGCAGCTATACAGTCAGTCCGCACAGCCCCCTTCTCTTTATAACTCACCCAAGACTAAAGGCCCAAAGCTTAGGCCCTGCAGCGATCCCATCACCCCAAAAGGCTCAAAGACATGCCAACCATTTCAAATCACCCCCACCAGAGGCGCGCCTATTAACAGCCATAAGTGCGCTGGCCCTCTACTAACAAGTTGATAAAATCATGTCCAAGGAAGCGGGAAATCTATCCCGCTAACCACCCGCAGAGACTTCAGGGAAGAGTCCCTCCTTCAAACCGTGAGCACAGTTTAACGCTCCCCCTAGCTAGCTTCCTTTGGAACGCAAACCTCTTTCATTTACAGTAAGGTGGAGGCCCTGTCAGAAAGCGACCCTGGCTCGCGATTTGCAAGCCTCCACGTTAGTCCTTGGCCGAGGGACGGGCAGGCGGTCTCCCTCCGATTCAGTGTAATCTGAAGCACTCAGCGACGGCTGCCTTCCACCACCACTGCTGGGCACCCCCGATCCCCACTCCTCCGCCAGGTTTCCTGCCTGCTTGTCCAGAGCCCCGCTGGAAGGGGTCAGCACTCAGGTGAGGCTGGCGGCAGGTAGCAAGGGAAGAACCTGATGTTGTCAGCCCCTCAGACAAACCTGGGCGTTCCCAAAAGGCGCATGCATTGGCTGGAAAGCACAGCCTACGACCTGTAACAAGCCACCCAGCTCCTCAACACTTGTCTTTCCAAAGTTGGCATTCAACAGGTAGTTCCCGAGACTTCCACCTGAGGCAGACAGAAGTACCCAATGGGCTCCGGGGGCCGCCCGAGAGTGGGTGCCATGCCCAGCGGCTCCCTCCCCCACCCCGGACCCTGCGGAGGTCGGGCCCCCACGTGCGCTGGACCCCGCTGCAGTGCCCCGGAGGCCGCGTCCCGCCCGCCCGGGCGGGATGCCGCCGGCCTCCTCGCCGCCCCTCCCGCCCGCCAGTCAGCCAGCCCGCGGCGGGGTCGGCGGGCGCAGCCCCCGGAGCCATCTTGTGGCGGCGGCGGCGCGGGGCCCGGGCGGCGGGCAGCTACCTGCACGATCTCGCCCTCCGCGCTGAGCGTGGCCCCGGCACGCGAGAAGCGGCCCGTGAGGCCGGTGGTGTAGGTGGTGTAGTCGCCGCTCGGGCTCGACTCGAACAGCACCACCTCCACGAACGCCGTCTCCTTGGCCCGCGCCGCGCCGGGCCCCGTGGCCGCCAGCAGCAGCCCGAGCAGCAGCGGCAGTGGCGGCGGTGGCGGCAGGCGGTGGCCGCGGGGGCCGCGGGGGCGGCGGCGGCGGCGGCGGCCCGGGGCCCCTGGGCGCCCGCCCGAGCGCGGCCTCATGGTCCTGCGGCGGGAGGGCGCGGAGGGCGGGCGCGGCCGGGCATAGTCGCGGGCCGGCGGAGGACCGAGCTAGGGCGGACGCCTCACAGCCCCATCGCGGCGGCAGCGGCTTTGTGGGTCGCAGGCTCCACTCGGTTTCCCCGGCCGTCGCGCCGCGGCCCTTTCATCTGCTCCACGTGAGGGGTTATCCCCGCCCCGGCAGCGTCGTGACCCGCTCTCCCCTCCCTCCCCGCGCTCGGCCGCAGCCGCGGCTGTTAGGGAGCTCGAAGGCGGGGCGGGTGCGCCTGCGGCGGCGGGAGGCGGAGCCCTGAGGCTGAGCACGCCCCGCCCCGGCCTCCGTCTGCGATCCTCCCCTCATCCTCGCTCCACCCCATCGTCCTCGCTCCGCCCCCTCCAGCCGTCTTGCCCCGCCTCATCACCCTCGCTCCGCCCCGTCTCTCAGTCTTGCTCCGCCCCCCTCATCCTCACTCCGCCCCCGCCGGCCGCCTCTACCCCGCCCCTTCATCGGCGCTCCGCCCCCTCATCCGCGCTCCGCCTCCACCGCGCTGTCCCTTCAGCCGCCGACATTTCTCCTGGCGGTTGCTACGGTTCGGCGGGAACCGGGACCGCAACCTGCTCCTGGACTATGCACGTTTTGCCTGCGGGCCCCGCGTGTCCTGGTCTAATGCAGGAGTTAGAGCCATTCAGGCGTGGAAGGCCTCGTCCTTCCCGGGTCCCCTGAACTTAAGCCCGAGTTCTAGCAGAGCTGGACGCCACCACCCGGCGCTATATCCCCACCCCCACCTCGGTGATCAAACGGGAAAGGCCTCGGCGGTCAGGGGCTGCTTGCCTCTGCTGTGCCAGGATGTGTCTGTGTAGCTCAGACAGTTCCTTTGCACCACATGAGTAAGGGCAGGTGGAACAAACTCTGAGGAAGTCATTTGGATTCTCCTGGAGTTCATCTTTCTACAGCCCCAAAGACGTAATTGATACACCTCCCTCAAAAGAAGTTCTGAAACCTTGAGGCTCATCCTGTGCTGAAGGGTGAAAGAGTCCAACACCTTTACTGCAGATTGATGGCTGCCAGATTAACATACCAACCACTCGTGCTCAAGGGCCGGGGGTTCCCATTCACCAAGAAAAACTTTTTAACTCCCTACTCCTCTTTGAGCAAGCCTTTTCTTTCCTCATCTAATCAATTAGAATCGAAACCCTCCTTCAAAAAGACACACATTAAATTCCTACTTCCTCCATCTGTCTTCTCACCTGACTAGAATGGTTTGTTCAGATATTTGCAAATATTTGGTTAAGATGATCTGCTTCTACTTGATACCACACCCAAAATATTGAAAAGACCAAAAGAAAACTCATTGGGAATTCTCTTGAGTAAACAACTTACCAAGGTTACATTTTAAAAGTAGAAAAAATACTTCAAAATGTGAACTGGAGGGGATGGGTCTGTGGCTCAGCAGTAACGTACCTGCCTGACATGTGTGAGGCACTAGGTTTGATTCTCAGCACCGCATATAAATGAAATAAAAGTCTATCAACAACTAAAAAAATAATAATAATAATGTAAACTAGAAAATACACTTGAGAAGATATCCACAAATCTGTTACCACATTTGGATCACCCAGAGCCTCTAAGCTCAGGAGAGAGGCACCTGGGAAAGTAGGCTCTGTGAACAGCGGCTTCTTGGCTTCTCTGAAACCAGACTTCTGATGCTGACTTCTGAGCACCCTCAGTTCTGATTGTCCCCATCCTAAACCTCATGGCACCATCTAGTCTTTAAGGGCAAGGGCAATCACAGATGACCCTTTATAATATTTAAAATTCAAGATGGTGAGGCATTGGGTTTGATCCTCAGCGCCACATAAAAATAAAAGGTATTATGTCCATCTACAACTAAAAAAAATTTTTTTAAATTTCAAGGTCATCACCAACTGATGAATGTATAAACAAAAATGAAATACTGATATATGCTACATTCCTGGATGAACCTTGAAAATAAACTGAGTGAAACATATGGTATGCTTCCATTTATGTGGAATGCACAGAACATATAGAGACAGAAAGTAGAATAGTGGGGAGTGGGCAGGGAGTAGGAATGGGTAGTGAAGGCTAATAGGTTATTTTGGGGGGGTAATGAAAATATTCTGGAATTAGATAATGGTGATGATTGTACACTTTGTAAATATCCAAGAACCAGGAAGTTGTACACTTTCAAAGGGTGAATTTTTTTGCTATGCAAATTGTATCTATCACAGTACACCTATAAACATAATTACGCCTTTAGCTGGGTGCGTTGGCATGCACTTATGTTTCCAACTACTTTGGAGTCTAGGGTGTAAAGATCACTTGAGCCCAGGAGTTTGAGAAGACCATCCTGGGCAACACAATATAACCCCATCTAATGGTAGAGCACTTGCTAATAGTGCATGAGACCCTGAATTGGGTTAAAAAACAAAAATGGTCCTCAGTTGTATTTTCATGCATGTGCACACATACATACAGGATACTATATAAGGAAGCCCTCTGTTTTTTACTTCCTTGTCTTAGATCAAATCTTATACCCTCACCAAAGTCTAACCTGACTAATTAAAACTGCTATGTGTGCCCTACCCCCCACTCACAAACTCCCTTAGCCTCTTACCATTCCTATGGCATTTATCACCTTCTAACATACTAAATAATTTGCTTACTTATTTTTGTCTCTACTCCCACATATACACATGCCAGAGAATGAAACTATGATGGCAGGGACCTTTGTCTCTTGTTCACTGAGAGGCCAAAACTGCCTGGCCCAGAGTAGGCACTCAACAAATATTTGTTGCATGAATTAATGACTAAATGAATGAGTGATAAGCTCATCATCATGTATCCCTCCCATTTTGCAGACATTTGGAGCAGCTTATTAACAGCTGCTTAGGAGTACTGTGCTTCATGGGACCAAAATAAATTCTGAATGTGGAGAAGAACAGCAGTACTTCCTCAAAAACTGGATAAAAATCCAGATGAGAGTCAGAAAAGAAACTAATTCTGATTTTTTAAAACTCGGCTTAAAGATGGTTAATGAGACACAGGCCAGCAACACAGAGGTAACAATGATTCATCTCTCAGCAGCATGTAGCTGTTTAGAAATTGAGGTTTTTAACCAGCAATGAAGTTTCTCCAGAATCTAGCAGACAGTAAAGGGAAATAAAAAATAACTTCAAATAAATAAGAGATAAGACCCGTCAGTTAGAGGGAAGAATGGGATCAGCAAATTGATCAAATGATAGGAAAGAATTGATCAAATGACAGGAAAAGAAGTGATGGACATTCATTATCTTGTGTGGCACATCCCTAGTAAATCATCCTGGTCTTAACATATTCCTTTCTGTACTTATCAGACCACAGCTCAGATGAAAATAACTGAGAACAGGTGCATTAGCATCAGTTAAAGTTGCTAGATCTTTGGTAAATCTCACAAACTCAGGGCAAACACCACACAAAGCTTTAGGAAATTTTCTACCATGGAAGTTCTATTTGTGGCTGAGCATGGTGGCACATGCCTATAATCCTAGCAATTCAGGAGGCTGAAGCAGGAGGATCACAAGTTCAAGGCCAGACTCTGCAACTTAACACCATCCTGTATAAAAATAAAAAATAAAAGGGGCTGAGGATATGGCTTAGTGATATAGCATCCCTATCTTAGGTCAATCTCACACCCTCACCAAGGTCTACCCTGACTATTTAAAACTGCTTCGTGTTTTACACATACACCATGCAATCTGCTTTACATAAACACCATGGAGGTACTCAGCCTCCTATGCCTATAGGACAAAAAGGTCCCATTTGTATGACCAAATATGGAAGTTCAGGCATTTCAAATCCATAAATATATGCATTAGTACCTAAATAGACTATATCTGTGCTAAATAAAAACAAGACATGGATATTCACTGCAGAAATGTTTTTAATAATAAAAATTTAAAAAAACAACCTAGTTGCCCATCAATAGGGGTTTAGTTAAATAAATTATGGTGCATCCATTTAATATTTTATTTTTTAAAAAATTGAAAACCCAGGCTGGAGTTGTGGCTTGGCGGTAGAACACTCGCCTAGCATGTGCGAAGCCCTGGGTTCAATCCTCAGCACCACATAAAAATAAATAAATAAAATAAAGGTATTGTGTCCAACTACAACTAAAAAATAAATATTTTTTAAAAAATTGAAAACTCTATGAACTTTTATGGAATGATCTCCAATATATATAGCTAAGTGCAAAAAAATGTGCAGATGGTAGGCTATAATGGAAGGGCAGGTGTGGGCAGGGAGAAAATAGACTAGACATAAGAAGTTTTACAGATATTACATATGGAAGGAGACATAAGAAATAAATAAATGACTGTCTCTGAAGAGGTACCTGGGTGACTGGAAGGCAGGAAAGAGAGGGAGATCTGCTTTTCCGTAAATATGCTTTATACTGATTGAATTCGGCACTATGCATATATATTACCTACTCAAAAATAAGAAAATAAATAAACTAATGTGCTAAATCAACATATGATAACACTTGTTTTCTATATGCAAACACATTCATTCAATAGACTTTACAGAATAACAATATTTTGTACCATGGAAAGACATGCCATCAGAAGATGAAAAGGAATTGACCTGTAGTTATGGAAGATATCACTTTTGCAGGAAGCTAGGAATTGGGCACACAGTTCCTCCTGTACTATTTTTGTAACTTCTAAATATTTAAAGATAGAAATTAAACCACACATGGTAGCTCATGCCTATAATTCCAGAGACTTGGGAGGCTAAGGCAGGAGGATCACCAGTTAAAGGCCAGCCTCCACAACTTAGTGAGACCCTGTCTCAAAATAAAAAATGTAAAATGGGATGGGAATGTAGCTCAGTGGTAAAGTATCCTCAGGCTCAATCCCCAGTACCAAAAAATTATAAGGTAAGAAGTCAATCTAAAAAGAGATCAGTCAGTGCCTGTATTCAAGTAGTTTCCTTCCTTTTCTTTTTCCTGCCTTCTGCAAACATTTATTACTATATGAGACAGACAAAGAAGTCAATAAAAGATTTCAGTGAAATGTAAGTAGACATTAACTATTTTACAAAATAATTTAAAGACTTTGAATCTCATCTTGCTTCTTTAAGGTGATTCAAATTTAAGACATGCTAGAATTCTTCCACAGTGTTTAAATCTATTTCTGGAAA